ACGTTTAGCGTATTAGTTTTAGATTAACGTTTAAAGGACCTTAAAGGTTTAAGCTACTTTTTATATAGATATCTTTAGGTCTTTTTTAATAGCTTAAATAGTAAAGATAATATAACTTTTAATTAAAGAGAATAGTATATTTATACGTAGAGGAAAGTTAATATAAAGGTTAAAGAGGTAGAAAGTTAGAAAAGTAGCTTACTTGCTGTGTTAGTTTACTTGCTATATAAGTATATTAACTATAACTATTTTTCTTATAATTTTTCTTATATAAAGTTTTTATAAGTTTTTATTTAAAGTAAGTTATATTTATAACTTAGATATAACTTAAGAAAGAAACTAAGAATTAAAAAGTAAAATTCTCATAATTCTTATATATAAATCTCTTTATAACTCTATAACTAAAAGTCCTATAAATATATAGTTATTTTTTCTAGATTCTTTTCAAAAAATAATCTATAAAAGTATATATTACTATATATAACTATACTAATATAAACTACTATAAACTAATGTAGTTTACTGTATATAAACGTATATACTTCTAAGCATTATATATACTAGTACTTATACTTATCTATAGGTATATATAAGTATATATATATATATATAAGAAACTATAAGTACCTCTTAGTGCTTAGATATACGCTTAGATATACACTTAGATACTATAGGTATCTAAGGGACTTTCTATATAACTAAGAGATATCCTTTCTACTTAGACAGTTTTATTATAATAACGAAGATATAACGAAACCTTAATAGTTAATATATATATATACCTTTTCTGTTTACCTTATTCTTCTTTACTTTTTCTTGTGACTATTTATAAATAACCCCTTGTTATTCTTACTCTTTTATATTACTCTTTTATTAAAAAAATATAATTAAAGGGGTTATAAGACTAAAGTTAATATCTTTACTAATAAGTAAAGCCTTAAATTTAGTTACTTAAATATTATAGTTAAGGCTATTAAAAAGGTATAGTATATAGATTTTTTTATAGTATTAATTTAGTTTAAATTTAATTAGAATATAAGGATTTTAGTTAATTTTAGTTAATTAAAAAGAAATATTAGTATTCTAATAGTATTTTTAAATTTATTTTAAAAAATAGGCCTTAAAAGTAGTTAAGTTATTATAATGTTATTATTAATAGTATAGCGTTATATAGTTACTTTAGGTTAGAGATATATATAGGCCTTTAATTAAAGAAGCTTTTATTAGATAGTAAAGTAGTTAGTTTAGTAGTTTAGTTATTTTCTAGATTAACTAATTAAATTAATAACTTAATTAAAGCTCTTAGGTTTAATTTTAGCTTAAGGTATATAGTCTTTATTAAATATAAACTAGAAATAACCTTTAACTAGTAAAGTAAGATTAAATTATAATTAGCCTAGAGTTATAATAGTATAAAATATAGTAATAGGTATAGTATTTACTTAGTAAGCTAGTCCCTTTATTCTACTAAATATAGACTACTAGGTATAAGGTGTAGTTACTTTAAAGCTATATTCCTTAAAATTCTTTTAGCTAATATAGTATATCCCTTAGTAAGGTTAAACTTTTGTTATATAAAATAGAGGTATAAGTATAAGGTAAAAGTATAAGAGTTGTCTTCTCTATTAAGCTAAGCTTATAACTAGTAAAAATAATAAAAAGTTATTTATAATAGTTATAAAGAAAAGTAGAGAAGAATAAAGGTAAATAAAAAAGGTATATATATATTAACTGTTAAGGTTTCGTTATACTTTATTGTTTTTTAAAACTGTTTAAGTAAAAGAAATATCTCTTAGTTATATAGAAAGTCCCTTAGATACGTATAGTATCTAAGTGTATATTTAAGTATATATTTAAGTACTAAGAGGTACTTATATATTTTTTATATATATATATATATACCTATATATACCTATAGATAAGTATAAGCGTTAGTATATATAATGCTTAGAAGTATATACGTTTATATATAGTAGACTATATTAGTTTATAGTAGTTTATATTAGTATAGTTATATATAGTAATATATACTTTTATAGGTTATTTTTCAAGAAGAATCTAGAAAAAATAACTATATATTTATAGGACTTTTAGTTATAGAGTTATAAAGAGATTTATATGTAAGAATTATAAGAATTTTACTTCTTAATTCTTAGTATAAAAATAATATAACTTTTGTTTAAAGAAGAACTTATTATTATATATAAAAAAATATTAATATAAAGTTAAAGTTTAAGGAGAAAAAAGAAAGTAGACTACTTACTATAATAGGCTACTTACTATATATATATGTTAGTAAACAAAAAACACTTCTTATCTTATTAATAGCTAATACGCTTAGCTAAGTTAATAAAAAAGAATATTTTAAGTAGCTAGAAATATACTAGACTATAGCTTATTACTATAAATAAACCTTTTATAAGCTTTTTATTACTACTTAAAGTAATAATACTAGTAATAATACTATTAACACTATTTAATAAGGCTACTTAAAGTATTTAAGGTATTTAGAATACTTAGGATATAAAGAGATAAGTATTTACTTTATTTACTATTATATAATTTATACATAAGAAAATAAGAGACCTTAATAGTTAACTAGACTTATTTAGTAAGCTAAATTAAAGTATTACTATATAACGCTAGCTCTTTAAAAAGGTCAAAAAAGGCTTCTAAGAGCAGTCCTTTTAGCTAGCTACTACCTAGCACTAGATACAGCTTCTCCAGGCCTAAGTCAGCAACACTGCAGCAAGGAAGAGGAAGACTGTCAAAATTGACCCTAATACTAAGTTTGTTAATATCAGCGATATACGGCAAGCCTAGATCGAGGCTGGCGAAGTTGAGATTTACACAGATGAATCCAGTGCATCTGATTGCCCTAGTGAAGCAGAAAGCTGTATCGTAGTTGCATCTGGGCCTCGGCGATAGTTAATTGAAAAGGGTGGTGTTGTTGTGATAGCTTTAATTTTCTGGTGGCCGAAATGCAGGGGTGGCCGAAAAGTGGGTGCTTTGACTTACATAGAACCAAAAGAAAACCGCTTTTCTCTTGTCTTTCTCAGCAATGTTTAGTGCCAGCGGAGTTACCTTTGGTTACCTGTTGTTTATCGATCCAGAAAGATTTGCCAATATTTCATGACCCGACGTGTAGTTCACCTGTAGGAGGGGACCCGGGAAAGGTTTCCGCCGTCACAAGAGAGGGAATCATGGATTGGAGGTCAAGACAGTAAATCAAAAATAAGTCAAGTATAGAGTTGATTCCGAGGCGTCTATCGGATACGAGCGAGGCTGAACTAGATAGTGTGTGCTACACTCGTAACGGTGATTCATGCCGCAAACTGTCAGTTCCCTAAAACGGCGAGATCTCATATTGATATTAGAACGCACGTCGGGTATCAATTTCTCTGACAGGAGGTAGAATGCTGCCTGCTGTGCCTCTGCGGATACTAGACTAAGAGGTGTGCAAGATACAACACTTCATAGATCACGATCAGCGATTTACCATCTCCGGGAAGCAAACTTTGAGCAATCCTCCCTTCTCTCAATAAGTCAATATTTTTACACTTTCGGATATCTGACAAATTAGCGTTAAAAAAAGCATGGAAACTGTATATCGGCAATCTATAAGAATTTGTTCGCATTTATGTGAACTTTGTACAATATGTATTGTGTAATTATTTTCGCTGTTCCCTTCCCCATGCTTATCAATTACACCAAGCACGATACAATACCCACGTCGAATGTGGAGCCTATTCCCAGACTAGATGAAGAATCTGCGTTGCTGATTGATTTCAGGATCGCTGACGAGCAATGCATCGTATGTGCAAAAGTGTTGTGTGCGACAGCGGCTATGTCTCCCTCTATAAGACGATGCATCCGGCGGGCGAGGAAAGCACAGTGTGCAAGATGATTTTCGTTTGTTGTGTAGAAGTGCTTTCCGACTAGGTCGGATAGCTCTTCTTCAGAAGCCACTTGATGCTCTGCTTTGTCGTCATGGTAGAATGCCCAAGCGCCCAGGTGGCGGCTAGAGTCGAGCACCCACTCACGGTATTCAGCATCAGTATATGGGTCTGAGCAGTGTTCTGGCATCCAGTTGTTGGTAAGGAGATCGAATACGCAGCCAAGTTCACGGGCTTCAGTAGAAGAGTTGCCGCAATGAAGCTCAGAGGTTGACATTGTCGATTGAGGTCGTTTTGAGTAGTAAAGGGCTGAATGAGCTGCATAGCCCAAGGCCGCACAAGTAAGACCGCCGAGAACAAAGAGGACTGTATATGCGGACTTCCGGGTCCATCGTTGATGCTGGCTGTTGTCTCTTTCGTCCTCCTCAAATTCGGCCGGCGTTAAACCAAAATTGTCGGGTTGGTTGAGTTTCAGGTATGTCTTTGAAGACCCCATCATTCGTTTAGCTATGCTTCGTGTGCTCGCAAACCCCCAGAGAATGAGAATATTGAAGTCGATCAGACATTGGCTAAAATCCGGAAATACTAACAACGGGTCGTAAGAAAAGAAAAAAGGGAAAAAAGGGAAAAGGCTATAGACGCGAAAGATGTGCTTCTCTTCTGGCTGACCTGTGTTTGTAGATGCCCAGATTGAAGAATTAGAAGCTTACTGCAGGAAGCTCTCCAGCAAAAGCAAGAGTGGCTGCTGTCAGCATGCATAGGCTGTGGACCGTACCATACCCTTTTTGTGTCGACTCGCTGCATGATTACTCACTCACTCGATAGGTCAGCACCACTTTGACAGTGAGTCTGAATAAGGTAAGTCAGCACGAATCTGACTGCGATCGACCACAGGACACCAATGACTTTGCCAAGCAATCGCCTCTCGTGGTTGCACGATGGGCGGCGTCCTTATGGAAAACTGAACAACTAGTTGTGTTCCTCTCCTTTTGAAAAAAAAGGCTTGGATGACTGTATAAGATTATATCTTGCCTTTCTTCTGAGTTGGACTTATTTGAAAACCTTGATAGCCTGCGCCAAAGCCAAAACATAGTCGTTAGCAACATGAAGGTCATCCAAAGAAGAGAGCTCAGTTCTTTCGACCAGAACTTGGGCAGTTTCCATCACCATCCTGACGATCTCGTTCCCGTTTCCCTCTCCTTAGACAGTACGGCTGATGAACGGGCCAACCTACTGGCATCTATCATCTCGAAGTCTTCTGCGCCGCATATCAGTCTTCAGGCGAATGAATTCCGCGTTGGCCCTGATCCTACCTCCAAGGACATATTCCGGAAAAAGCTGCTGAGGGAACTTCGCAAAGGTTGGGCAAATGCAAGCACGGAAGCTCGCTTCATCAGACTTGTCGAAGTCCTGCAGCGCGATGGATGCGCTGTCTTCGCTGGACTGGTCGATATGCAATCTTTTCAGCAGCTCATCGACGATTTTTCGGACATTATGAATGGTTCCGGAAGCCATGCATTCCTACACTCATTTTCTCATCTCATTGAACACCCCGACTTTCTCAAAAATTCACGTTATAACGACGCCATCATCCATCCTCTGCTCATTGCTATGCTGTCTTATGCAATGGGCGGCCCCATCAGGATGACTGATGCTCGGGGAAAAGATACTGAACCCATCTCCGTCAACGCCCAAGACAACATGCTCCATGTTGACAACACCCCTTTCCGGGAGGAGTACAAGATCCTGCTTGGTTGGGAGAAGGGAAAGGTCAAGGGTCCTACCGGTCAGAATTTCACATTCCTGCCCGGCACGCAGAAGGGAACCCGATTTGTCCGGGTGGACGAACACTCCCAGCCCTGGTCCACGGAGAACGACAGCCTGTTCATCACCAATGAGAGCATCGATTCGGTCTTCGGGTTTCAAAAAGACATCGCGGGAGGTGCGCCTGCAGTTGTTGAGGTAGAGTACCCCAACCAGCCCATCACTGTGGTTTTCAATGCGGGCTCTCTAGTCCATCATCGTTACCGCAATACAGCCGGTAATGCTCGAAGTTGCGTCATAACCGCATTCCATCTTGCGTCTGATCATCCAGGAACGCTTTTGGACCCGACAACGATTGGAAAGCCTGAATCAGTGGCTGACATCCTGATGGGTCACCAAGACGGAACCAAAACTGAGGCTTTTTGTCGTTTGATTGGTGCTAAAGCATCAGCCATTGAGACAAAAATCTTGGAAGTCCTTGACGACAGCCATCAGTCCACCTTAGTTGACACAGCGACAATGATGCTCTCTGGCGACAAGCTTCATTGTTGGCGACAAACAACCGTCAACGCCCCTCTGTCAACGCAACTGAAGTTTGAAGGCGGTAACTTCATCTCTTGTGCAGACGGTTCCATCTCCCGAAGGTCGTTGATAAAGAAGCTCGCTGGCGCCATGGCGTATGATAAACATGGTCTCTTGGATCTTGTAATCTATATGGATGGTCATGAGGAGATACGGAAGCCAGCCCGAAAGAGCGTTTGGACTTTGCCTAGGGAAAGGATTGAGCAGGTTCTGACTACTTGGCTGCCAGCTGTCGAAGCGTACAATTTCACCTGTGGCGATGTACAGAAGCCAGTTCTTTTGCAACAAAAAGCCGAAAAAGTTGCTCGCCTGCTCCGAGATGCTTTTCCCACAATCGACTTTTCTGTCGAAAACAGCGGTCGAAAGGAGCAAGAGTTGTCGTCGGCTCACCAACTTATTATCGACCTTGGGGAGTCCATCACCCGATGCGAAAAGGTGGAGACTTATATCACCACGAATCTTTTTCTCTTCTTCACTATCGATCGTGTCATATCTCACCTTGACTGGGCCTTGGGACAGAGAGTTGCCGGGATTTCCGCTGTTTTCCTGAGGGCTTATATTGCTTGCGTTCTAGTGGTCGAGAGAAACCAAGGTATCTGATTGTGTATGGTAATTATGCATACGAAAACATAAGATACAGACTACTCGTATGTATCTTATTTGAACATTTGTTTTGGTAAAGACAATGGATTTGCCGTAATTCACGGCCCTCGCAGTCTAGTCCATTCACTGAGGGTATCCAATAATCCCTCTATATTAGGATGATTATATTGACATGTGCCTTGTTCTGTCAAAATCATTGCCGATCAACGCCACTTAAATGAAGAAGGGTAGTTGACTGCTTTTGAACTCTGATGTGGTCTGTTATGTTATGCTGGAGTTGTTGCTTCACGTAGCTCAACTACACAGCTACGCTCATTCAGCTATGGGTAATTTCAAAATATTGAAAACCAGCTGCTTGGCACTCCAAATACCTGACATGTTAGAATCAAAGTACTTTTAGATTCTTGAGCTTCGCCAGGGATTTTCTTCATCCTCTTTTTTCTCTTTCTTTGTTCCGATTGTTCTGATTATAGCTGCTTCGTTTCCTCATATTTAGCAAGTCCCAAAGCAAAAGTCGAGTTTGAAAGTTGTCGGAACCTTTGCTTACGGAATTTGGCGAGGAAGCCAGCAGGAGCCTGGGCGGCGTTGATGATTTCCGGCTAATCTCCGCAGTTCGACGCACCCCTGTAGCATCGTTCGCGGGTTAAAGTGTCAGCGTGCATGTCAGCATGCGTCTTGTGGAACAACTCCAGGTGTGTGGGCCAAGGAAGTAAGCAAATGAACCACAAGTGATCGGCTTAGAGGTATCGCCGTGACAATCATGCGAGCGGCTTGTTGGCCTTCTTGGAATACTGGAGTGATCTATGAATCCCTCGCCATACCAACTTACAAGCCCACGGTAGATTGGCTATTGTGTCTCTTCCAGTGTTACTTCGTTTTGTCTTACTTACTCATTCCTTGAGTGAGATCCAAACACTTCCCATGAAGATTCCAGCTATCAAGACAAGCGCTACTGTGCTGGCGCTGGCAACTCGAGTTGCCAGTTCCGTGTATTGCGATTCCGACGATTGTGCTCAAAACCAACCCGTCGGTACTCCCACAAGCACTGCTGCTTGCTCCACTGTGAGTGCATTGTGGGCGGCCCAAATCACAGCTACTCCCAAGCCTACCGTTATCGCCAAGCTTGCATACGACTGCATCAATTCAGTACCGCTCAACAAGCCTGCCGCCTTGAGGTGGATTGATGAGTTGAAGCCATATCTAGAATGGCAATCAACCCTCGCATTTTTAAAGACACCGCCACCCGAGTATTTCTTCCCCCCACACGACATTGTCGCTGCTCTTGACACAATTCGCGTCGATTTGGAAGCTGGCAAATACCCAAACGAGTACTCTTGGCAGCGGGACGTATTTGTTAAAGTCTTTGGACCTGCTCATGATGGACATCTGTACGTCAATCCGGACATCCTCACCAATGCAATGGAATGGGTCAGGCCACTTGCTCTTGTCTCCATCAGCGAAGACGGTACCTCCCCGCCCGTTATTAAAGTTTACGACGATGTCGCCTCCAACCCCGAGACCGCATCGATTCTCTCGCTCATCAATGGTGTTGACGCGGCAACATTTCTCAAGGATCAGATATTCGCAATCACCGGAAGCCAGGACCCTGACGCTGCCTACAACTCAATGTTTTACTCCAAGTCTTCGGCCGTCTCTAATAACGCCGGCTTTTTCAAACAAGGTGGCCGAACACGGTACATTTACCCCGGTGAAACAACTTCATTCACCTTTGAGAACGGAACATACCTCGAATTGCTCAATATCGCGAGACTCAAGGGTGACTGGAATGGGGTCAAAGACGGGACGTCATTCTTCAGCAAATTCGCTCCAGGTGCTGGACTCGCCAACTCTACCTTGGTATCGACATCTAGCGCAGCACATACAAGTACACCCACAACCATGTCACCAACAAGTCCGACGGGTGTTAAAGGCTACCCTTCGCCAGTCGTAATCAGTAGAGATTCGGTAGTATCCGGCTACTTCATCGATGAGCCGGGTTTTGAAGACGTTGCCGTTTTGGCCGTCATGTCCTTCGGGTCCGATAGCCCTGCCGAGTTTCAAAAAGTCATCGAGGACTTTTTTCTCAGAGCTATAAATGCTTCGAAGACTAAGCTCATAGTAGACCTCCAGTTCAACTATGGAGGTTACATATTCCAAGGCTACGATACGTGCGTTGTCAAGGCTCATCTGCTTCTGAGGGGCCCCTGCCCGGCGCTCTATTCTTCTCTGCTCTTCATCTACTAATAATCAGCTTTTAGGTTTCGACAGATTTTTCCTGATGTCATACAAGAAGGCACTGGTCGGTGGCGTTACTCTCGAGGCTTCAAAGCCGTCTCACAGGTTTTCTCCGATAACTGTGAGGGTTATAATCCTGACACAGCATCACACGAACTTATACAGCAGTGTGAGAGCGTTTATAACTGGGGACATGATCTTGCAAGAGATCTGCGGTATTTCACCTCGTATGAAGACAAGTTTTCCACGGCAAGTAACTTCCTGAGGCGGAACGGCGATTCTTCGCAGTCTATATTTCTAATACTTGAAGCGGCAGACTGAGAAGAACGACCAATATACCAACCTCATGCAGTGGGATTTCGAGAATCTGATGGACACGATCAACAGCACCTACGGAATGGGGTTTGACGTCACGGGATATGGCTCTCGCATGAACTATACTAGACCATTTGGCGGGCCAGAAAACATTGTGCTGCTGTATGATGGCGCATGCGCCTCGACATGTACGCTCTTCTCGCAGTTTATGAAGCGGGATGCAGGCGTCAAAAGCATCGCAATGGGAGGGCGACCCGAAATCGAGGACAGGATTCAGGGCACAGGCGGAGTCAAAGGTTCGCAGACATACTCATTCGGAAGCATCCACGGTTATACTCAGATCGCAAAGCGGATGACCAACGACACTTCTCTGATTGCTGAGTTAAGTCGTTTCACCACCTACGTCCACTCGCGTGCCTCATCGACCAGCATCAACGTCAAAGACGAGATTCTCCATGAGAATTGGGAAGACGGCATCCCGGCTCAGTTCATCACCGAAAAATCTGATTGCCGCTTATACTGGCAGGCCGATATGCACCAGGACATGACCAATCTATGGAAAGCTGCCGCTACCGCTGCCTTCAAAGGCGGCAAGTGCGCTTTTGGAGCCATCGACTACTCGGAGACGGCAACCACCAAAAAGCGTGGTAGTACTCAGCGGCCACCTTTCACGCGCCCTCGTATCCAACTCCGAAAGGAAAAGGGACCGACGCATGCACCTTTGGCCAAATGGGATGCTGAAGGATCCAGCTTGTGGACTTTCCGGGCCAATCATTACATGTTCGCCGAAAATTAGGCCAATTTCATAGTCGTGCGAACGATACAGCGGACTGAGCTAAATTGGGGGATACAAAGAACAACTGGCTTGTGCCTGATGCAGTTTCTAGGCTCTATTGGAGAGACCGACTGCTTGTTTATGAAGCTCGTATTCCATCGATTGTTGCGGGTATTAGACAAGCAGATTACAATTTCCAATGGAGAGAACCACAAAAATGCTGCCGGTCTGAACTCTACGTACGTCCTAGAAAAATCCAAGATTAGTGTTTAACGGCCAACATTCTCATCTTGAAGAGAATATCTGTTGCAGCAATGCAACGTCGGCCCGAGACCACTATGGTTCTTGCTTAGCGTGTAGCGTGCTAAGTTAAGCATAATTTACGAAAGAATCAAGTGATGTATGCACGCCACATCTGCCCACTTTCCGCTCTCCACTACCATTGCTGGAAGAATACTCAGAGGAACCGGTGTGGAACCGGACCGGAGAGGAAGGTAGTTTGCTATGGTATCAGGCCAAAGTTTTTTACCCCTGTCAGGTATCTTGTGGCTTGCAAGCAGGCAGATCTAAGCACTGGTACTTCGCATACTTAGGTGACTGTTCAGCCAGTTGGGTTGTGAATCCTCGCTGGCTGTGGGGTCAAAGCCAAGAACTACCTGTTGTGGGTAAAAGACTTACCCATCACACCATAGTACTTGAGGGGCCCGCGCCTCAAGAAAAACCCGCCGGTTTTACCACCTCTATTCCCTACCAAGCCGGCGGACTTTTCTTGAGGGCGCGTGAGGGGTTAATGGTACAGAAAAGCCGGTCGGGTTTGACTGCAGTAATCAAAGTACTGGATACCTCCGGGACGTCCACCTGTGTGGCACAGGGCACGCTGTGCCACACAGGCGCTGTGAGACTTCCTTGTTCTCTTTCTAGGCCCAGAGCACTCGCGGCCCGGCGGGAAGGTCCGACGGTGATTTATTCGGCTACCTGATCATTACGCCCGCATCCCCGAACGACTATTTCGCCCCACCAAAAGACGGCTCGTGGGATATTGCGTCATTGGCGAAAGGCCAATAATTGCCAGCTCACCGAGTTTGCACGTACAGCGTCCAATGGGACATCCAGCGAAGACTCAGCTCTTAGTTAATATATACATTACAAACCGCCGGCTATCGCCTTATCTGGCAGCTTGCATATCTTGCAGACGAAATTGAAAGAGAACCTTCATGGTCATAGATCTTATTCTCCCAGATTCGCCGCTGAGCCACTTTTCCCCCAAAAACGTGGCCGCATGCGGTAGAGACCAACCCGCTGAGTGGTGATTAACTTCTTTCTCTCCTTCACCGGTCGACTCCCCACGCGGTCAAAATGTCTGCAGAGCTATTGAGTATGCACTAGCATTTGACCTTCGCTACCTAGTATCACTATCACTATCGCTTGAGTAATTAAAGTCTCTGTCGCGGCACTGAGCCATTTCCTGCAACTTTTTTCTCAGAAAGGTCAAGCAGTCTAGGATCTCGTCGTCTTTGGTCTCGAGAAGTCCAAAGCGGACACCAAACTTGCAGAGCTTTTGAATCTCTGAAACCATCATCTCGGCCCTGTGAGCAACACAACATCCTGCTGGTCTTCTGCTGCTTTCAACGCCTGACGCGCTTTGCTTTCCGGATGTCGAAGTACGTTGTGAATTCTGTAGACAAGTAAATAATTAGTGACCGTTAGCCGTTGTTGGCTGATATTAAAGCTCACCAAAAAAGGGAGGCATGGATTTTCCTTAGTATTTCCGCTGGCGGCAATGATGGAGGGCGAGCGAGCTGAGCTGGTGCGCAACGACGTAGCTTCAATTCGACTAACCAAGTTCGTATTGCTGGATGACTGGAGATGTTCGATCGGAGTGTAGGTGTGCCCAGAGTTGCCCACAAGACTCATGGGGCTCATGCTGAAGAGAACAGTGGGATCCGTTCGGCCTTCGGGAGAGTGACGAGCCTTCCATCCACTCGCAGGAAAGTTGTCTTCGTTTGGGGGCGATTGTATAGATGGCAAAGCCTTGAACCAAGGAGCCTCAGAAAAATCAGGGTATAAATCCTCGGGAGTGTTGCATGCGAATATGGCGCTGAAATCCATGTCACTATTCGAGCTTGGGAAATCCGGGTGCGAGGCCCCTGGCAGCGTGGTTGGTGATTTGAAAACAGTGTTTGAGGCCATGATATGATCATTACTGCTCCCATCTTCGCCCCTTTTCTCTCTTTGGAGAGGGTGTAAGCCTGTTGTACTGATGGCTTTCCTCCGGCTTCCTGCATTTTGTCAGCACGGTAGTCGGTAATGGCGATGTTTCGACGTACTGAAACGTTTTTGAGCTTCGCGATTTTGCAGCTTGCGCTTCGCCTTTTGGTCTTGAGTTTCGCCCATGTTTGAGGTAGGGAAGAACGATAAGCAATCTTGTGCCGCTGTTATTTCACCGATTAATGATTCTAGGTTGTTCATCTCAGCCGAAGGTCCTAATCTTTGCTTCTTATTTGGTACGGCGGGTACTTCATCATTGATCTACACGTAGTCAGTCGAGGTGGTGGCGCTAACCTGTTGGTTAGCCATCTCCAAGATGTCTTTTGCAGGTAGGTATCCTATCTCACTGAGTACTTGTTGTACCAGGTTCCCCTGACGCCAAGGCCCTCTCCACCAACAAGTCAACCTCGCCGCCGCTTGCATTCCTGTGCCGCTCAGTACCCAGAGGATATCATAAGCGTGCTTTGACGGGCATACCGGCTGAGTCGTTCATTTGCAAAAATCGGTTGGCTTTGCGCGGAGTTCCGGAACCTCACAACCAGCTAGGGTGGAGCACACTGTCTCAGGAAAGATCATCGATTCCACCGTTGGATCTTCATTTGGTTGCGGCGTCGGCTCAGTCATGTCACCAGGTGTATTTCTGCCGCCGACACCCGCCTATAAAGCTTTTACAGAGTCCGGGGAAGCAGAAACATGAAGAGAGCTAAGAGCCAGAGGGACCACCAAGCTTTTGGCAGCCGCAGCCAAGGGTTGGCGATCTGTAGCGCGATGGCAATGCGTTACCCGAAAATGTCACGTGTGGCATGGAGTCCTGGAGACGTCTCACTTTAAAGGACGTTCCATGTGGGCGCGTGACCAGTGAGGTAGGATACTATAATTTCCCCTGTCCCACATGATATGGAAAAAACCAACGCATTTCTTTGGCCAGCATCCTCCAACGCTCCTCGTCTTGGCGATTTGATGCAAGCTTACTTCACGTCAGCGTCTCCGGGTAATCCGATACCCTTTCGGGCCTTTGATGAAACCATAATGGACTGGCCCTTCAGCTTTTTCCAGCCTGCAGCCAGAACAACATACCATGGTTCATGCCCACTGTACTTTCCACTGCCCTGTTACTGCCTCCGCAGAGAGTGAAAAGAACGTTGCCTCTTAGCCTAATTAGGAAGGTAATCGTCGGTATCAGCTTAAAAGCCTGTTATCCGTGCCGCAGTCAAAACGGTTGGATCTCTTCAGGAAGGTAAACAAGACATCGTGTGACTAGCGTTTCTCAGGTCTTCCCTCAATTTCCGTACCCAAGCAAATCGTCTGCAGAATGCACTCCCTGCATGTTGCTCTAATGATGACTTTGTCTTGGCGACCCACCACAGCGTTTATCAGAACGATTCTTGAGGTCTAGACCAGTGCTCAATGGGACCTGAACTGTCAATTCGATTTATAACAGCTGGGTTAGTAAACCCATCATGCTCGATCAGGTAACCCGCAGAACCTAAAATTTATTCTTTCTTCTTTGAGTCGCAAAGCACCTGGCACGTAAATCTATCCTTCCTTATTGAGCGCCAAGGGGCATCATCATGGCTACAGGTCGAGCTGAGCCCATCGTGTACCCCACATCCCAGGTCATTTCCATCGCAGCTTCCGTTCTGTTTCTGCTGTTGCTGCCTTTCCGGCTTTCGAATCTTCGTGCAGAGACAACCAAAGTTGTTCAAGAACATCGCGGTCATGGCAAATCAGTGCGTAGCTAAGGCCTTGGAACTCTTCGATAAATGGTTTCTAATATTTTAAATAGTTGATGGCGATTGTACTGTCTGTGATCCAGTCAATTGGTTTGTTCACAGAAGCGTTCCCAACGTCGCGATTCAGTATCGGGGTCCTTTCTGCCACTGGTTCTTTGGTTGCATGCATAGGCCTTTGCCCTCTGCTATTTTTCGAGCACACCAGGTCCACCAAACCTTCGGATCTCGCCGTTGTCTATTTACTCGTGTCCTTGGCATGCGACTCTGTCCAGTTAGGAACGCTTGTCTATCAAAATGGAATCTTATTCGATTTCGTGACGTCTGTTGCGAGCCTCTGCGTCAAGCTTGTGATTGTTGCTGTCGAGAGCCGCAGCAAAGAAAGCATTCTGCGCGGCCCGCATGGCCAATGGCCTCCGGAACAGCTGATCGGCGTTTTGAACAGGGTTTTCTTTTGGTGGATCAATCCAATACTGGCAAGGGGAAACCGGTTCGTTCTTACTGGAGATAACCTCCCGCCTATAGACAAAAAGCTTTCGTCGAAACTGCGGCGTCATCGTGCCCTGCAAGCTTGGGACCAGAGAAGTAATTCCCCAACTGAACGAACTGATGAGCTGGTCTGCTAGAAATGACTGACGTACTTACAGCCAAGCCTGAAACGAAGACGACATTGCCAAAGGTCCTCGCTCTCAGTATGCTGTCACACCTTTTGGTCCCAATTATTCCCAGACTCTTCCTCATTGGTTTTCGCTACGCTCAACCCGTTCTTATCAGAGCAGCTATTCGGTATATAAGCAACATGCCAGGGCAATCTGCGGAAACAGGATATTCGGTCATATTGTTGGCTGTAATAGTTTATGTTGGTTTGGCCGTATGTCTGTTCTCATCATGTTCGCTGTATTCCTTACTTACTTTCAGTACAGATATCCAAGGCTATGTATCAACACCGTTTGAATCGCCTTAAAATCATGATCAGAGGCGCCGTCGTTGGTCTTGTTAACAAAAAGTCCCTTCATCACCAGT